CAAATATTGGGTCTTTTTTTTTTTTTGGTTTTTCGAGACAGGGTTTCTCTGTGCAGTTTTGCGCCGTTCCTGGAACTCGCTTTGGAGACCAGGCTGGCCTCGAACTCACAGAGATCTGCCTGCCTCTGCCTCCCGAGTGCTGGGACTAAAGGCGTGCGCCACCACCGCCCCATTTCCTACATTCTTAACAAGTCACAATCAACTCAACTTCCAAGGGAGACAGAAACCAGACATTTGACCATGTGTTTTAGGCAGTTATCACCCATTTCTTTCCTTTGTTGTTTCACAATACACAATTCTGTGTAATTACAATAATGAAAAAGAAGAAATGAAAAGCCCTTGACTTAAGCTTCCAAAGGCTGTAGAGTTCATTACCTACAATAATGTTTTTTGTGAATCTAATAAAATTCAAGACTTAGTACCATTATTTCAAAAAAAATTAAGCTACTTCTGCTTTTGATGAGCAATGACAGCATTTCTTTGTCTAGATATTTGATGACTAACATTTTTATGAGATTTTATCACCAATAAGTCTCATTCTTAAGTACTCCAATGTGTCTACTTAACACTCGTTCTTTTCGTCTAACATCTGTGTGAGTTTTTATAAGTCTAGTAACCATTTCATATATAATTAGGAAAAATTAACTTGGCATGGATAGGCTGGTATTCTTTTAACACTATTATGTACAGTCTAGGGGCACAACGAGGAGGGGCCACTGTTTAAGAGTGAGTGGCTGCCTATGCCAGGTGGTGGTGGTGCACACCTTTAATGCCAGCGCTTGTGAGGCAGAGGCAGGTGGACCTCTGTGAGTTCAAAACCAGCCTGGACTATAAAACGAGTTCCAGGACAGCTAAGGTTACACAGAGAAACCCTATCTCGAAAAACCAAGAGAAAAAGAAAAGAAAAAGAAAAAAGAAAAGTGGCTGCCTCCTGTCTCAGTGCTTTGTTTTTTTTGGTAATTTCTCTGATTTAGAGATTAGCAAAGTCAAGGCAACTTAGACAAGGGGTCCTTCTACACCATTACTCAGCTGCACTACAACTCTTCCCAGTCACAGTGTTGACAGCAGCATTAGAGTGACCCATTTCTGTGCTGATTAATGATAATTTCTAAAAATGACAGCAAGGACTCAAACTCTAAAAAACTCACATCTTCTAGTTGCATAGAAGCAGTTTTTCCATGTGAAAGAATAAAACATAGATTAAGATAAACAACAACAAAATTCTTATTGGTGTTCTGCTGTTGAAGGTTCCTCTATCTGAAGTTTTTAAGACAATGAAAACATGACGACTCCTACTTATGAATCACCATATGCAATGGAAACACAAAGAACCTAGAACAACCCAAATGGGAAAACATCCCTCCTCCTGTGTGAGATGCAATCAATAAACTGATTCTCATCAAAGTAACAGAGGGACTAAGCACTCATCATTCCTGGGTATATTTCCTCAAACACCCAGGTTCCAAAGGAAATAGCCTGGTACTTCAAAGGGGCTTCAAAGTGTAATTCGCAACTCCATTTCTATCTACCTGCATCTGCACAGCAATTATGTTCTCAACTAAGAGTGAGGATTAAAAACCACATCAGAAAACGAAACATTAAATTCTCATTAACAATACGGTGATAGTCTTTAAACAGAGTTGGCTATTTGAGGTTTCATTCCTAATATTTAACTACAAGAAATGACACACTGAAATGAAAGCAGCATCTGTCTATTCAGGTAACACAACTAGGACTCTGAGACAATCTACCTCTAAGGACAGAATAGATGTGCAGGGACCTCTGAGCTGGGTACAGGACGGGTTGAGGCAGATGTTAGGACAATGCCAAAATGATGTCGGATTGTCTGTCATCAGACCCTAAACTGTATCGCTGATCCTGTTACCCATCTCTTACCCAAAATAAAAGAATAATTAAGCTATAGAGTCTTACCTTGACTGAATTGCTAGATATATTGTACGCCGAAATGAGACTAGATTGATTTCTGTTTTGTCATGAATAGTTACTTTTTGTCCTGAAATAAATTAAACATAACAATTATAAAAATGTTTGTTCTATGATCAAATTCAGTAACAAAAACATTGTCTTCCTTTTGTAAATTAGTATCTGTATAATTAATGGAGCAACTATAAGTCTTCTGACTTAGCATTTTCTTAGATCAGAGTCCACAACCATGCCAAAAAACAATTTTTGTCTCTGTGTTACAAACTCATTTAGACACCACAGGAGGTTTTATTCTACACTGATGCTTCACTAAATGTTATTTCTGGAGTCATATACAATTTTGATTAGTTAGATAAACTAAACGGGCTGAAATTCAGGTTAAGAGAATACTGGGTTGTGGCAGGTTGGCTCTGTCCAAATGTGCATTTGTCAAAATCTCTTCACGTATGCAAGAAAACATTTCTTGTACATAATAATTTGTATTTAAATAGTACTTCCATTTAAAACAAAAAACTTCTAAAGGAAAATATAATATAGCTATTTAGATGACTTAAAGACAACAGTGGAAAAATCCAACCTATTTTTTTATAAAATGTTGCAGAACAATTGCACCGTAAAACATATTACCCTAAAGAAGAAAAACATACTTTCAGTATTTCCAGATGTGTAATTCATGTAAATAACACCCAGCTTATATATGTTGCTGTACTACTAATATTCAACCAAAGGAAAGATCTGAGCTTGTTTTTCTGCAAATGATGTAATCAGAGCTGAAGAGGAGAACACCAAGCCTGTTCTGTACAAATATAGTTGCTGGCCTCCCTACCCTATTTTGCCAAAATGAACAGCAAATATCTAGTCATTCACATCTGTCACACTCTTGCCAAGGTTACATAAATCACACACCCTCAACATGAATGTACCTTTAGAACTGAAGGTCTAAAATACCAAATTAAAATTATGTTGTTAGGAAATCCTTCTGGGGACAGAAGGGGCAGTTTTCTGTCCTAACGGATACTGAACAGTCACCCTGGCTTCCCCCACTAACCGCCAGTGGCATTCTTCACAATCCTTCTCAGTGAGTGGAGAAGGGATTCTGGAGAGGTACTGCAGAATTCACTTAATCCTAAAGTGTTGACAGCATACTTGAAAAGCCACACTTTACCTCCTTCCTCCTCTTCTCCTTCTTCCTCCTCTTCCTCCTCCTCATCTTCACTACTTCCGGCTTCTTGGTCTGTGTTGGAATCACTGTCTCCTTCATCAAGAATTTCTACAAAGTAAGTTTAAGAAGAAAAAAAAAATGAATGAGCTAGATACATGTACCTCATCCTGAGAAGTTCATTCTCATTTCACCGAATCTAATTTCAACTATTTACCTGCCAACAGTTATAGCAAGAAAGCAATTAGAATGATCTGGTGTTAGGAAATTGTATGTATTGTTCTTTGTCAGATAAAACGTGCTCATGAAACTAGGGAATGAAAAGAAGAAAAGAAAGGCACATGATGGTTTCTGAGTGGGCAAGAGCACTGGGAAAAAACTGGAGTCCAAAGCTAGCATTTCAAAGTTCAAAAGCTATCTTAATAAAGAGGGCAGTCTATGATGAAAGCTAAGGCTGTATACTGAACACAAGAATGTAGAGTTAAGAATATATAGAATGATGACCGGGTGGTGGTGGTGGTGGTGGTGGTGGTGGTGGTGGTGGTGGTGGTGCACACCTTTAATCCCAGCACTTGGGATGCAGAGGCAGGCGGATCTCTGTAAGTTCGAGGCTAGCCTGGGCTACAGAGTGAGTTCCAGGAAAGGTGCAAAGCTACACAGAGAAACAGTCTTGGAAGAGCCGGGCGGTCATGGCGCACGCCTTTAGTCCCAGCACTCGGGAGGCAGAGCCAGGCGGATCTCTGTGAGTTCGAGGCCAGCCTGGGCTACCACGTGAGTTCCAGGAAAGG